TCTCTAATCTGTCAAGATCGTTTTGAATTCTGCTCCTGTCCTCTGGAGTGTTGGGTCTCCCTCCAATTTGGTGTCGTCTGCAAACTTGATGTTGGAAGTGTAGTGAACAAACAGGTACATTCTACCATATGTGGTGGACATGCAAAGAAACGTCTAAGTATTGGTCATTAATACATGAGGAAACACAAAAAATACTGAAAAGGAAGTTTAAGAAGAAGCCTGAGTATTACTTATTAGGCTTCACAGACCTAGACTTACAACTGGAAGAAAATGAAGATAAATTACTAACATACATTACAACAACAGCGAGGATTACTTTTGCCAGATATTGGAAAAAGGAACAGATTCCTATTATTGAGGAATGGATGTTGTTGTTCATTCGTTCAGTCGTCTCCGACTCTTCGTGACCTCATGGACCAGCCCACGCCAGAGCTCCCTGTCGGCCGTTACCACCCCCAGCTCCCTCAAGGTCAGTCCAGTCACTTCAAGGATGCCATCCATCCATCTTGCCCTTGGTCGGCCCCTCTTCCTTTTGCCTTCCACTTTCCCCAGCATAATTGTCTTCTCTAGGCTTTCCTGTCTCCTCATGATGTGGCCAAAGTACTTCAACTTTGTCTCTAGTATCTTTCCCGAGGAATGGATAGATAAGGTTAAAGAAATAAGAGACATGGACGAATTAACTTTTGATGAGGAAAAATACCGGAAAATCGGTAAAGAGGACGGACTTTTATGAGTATGAAAAAAATAGAAGAACAATAGAGGCTAAGAATATATAAGTTTGACTAAGAAGTATTCAGAGAAGATCCTGAGGCTGGAATAGAAGTCATTTTAGAATAGGGCTTTTTTTTTTTTCTTCTCCTTTGGATTTTTCCTATTTTTGACTTTTTTGGTGGTCTTTTTTTCCCCCCCTTTCTCCATTTTTTTTCTTTTTCTTTTTGAGGGTGACCGGGTGACCGACTTTTCTATCTTCTTTACTATTGTTCCCCCTCTTTCCATGTGTTGTTGTTTAAAATGTTTAATAAAAAATATATATATATAAAAAAAGGAAAAAAATAAAAAATAAATTCTTTTTGCAAGAATCCTACCTGAGGTCTCATGCGTGGATTCCATCGCACATAATAGTTTACCCACAATTCCAAGTGGCTTAGGCTGGCAACAGGGTACAGGACGTGGTGTTCGTAATTCACGTAGAAAGGGTTGCTGAATTCATCGAGCTGGCTATTGACGTAGGACCACAGGGAGACCGTCCTTGTGCTTATTTCCTGGAAGGAAAGAACAATTGGTCAAACACGCTTGCTTGGAATACACACACACACACACAAAAGCTTGTGGCACTTCTCGAGTTTTCCACACATCAGAAGCCATTTCTGGCATCAATCATCTCCTTAATATGGAGTAGCTCAATCTATAAAAGTAATAGTATCTATAGAATCATAGAATCGTAGAGTTGGAAGAGACCTGGTGGGCCATCCAGTCCAACCCCATTCTGCCAAGAA